TATATATATATATATATATATATATATATATATATATATATTCATAACTTACATTTGTGATATATTCATAACATATAACAAAATATGTCACATCAGTTCAAACATGGACTCATGCTGTGACTTGAAGGCAGAACTACAGGCAGCCGTAGCCGAAGCCAAGGGCCGGCTTTCAACTCCAGGCGGCTTCTCCCGGAGACCCAGAGACAAAAGCGGGTGGGGAACCCTGCCCGGTCACTTGACTCTGGCCTGCCAGACAACATCAGGAGAGGAGTGGCCCTGCCCCCCACCCCTTCCTTGGTGGGCCCCGATTCTTCATGGCTGTGAGGCCAGTTGGGTGACTCATTCCTGGGAGGGAGGGGGCTGCTCCTGGGCTCCCTTAGGCACGGAAGGCGGCTAGAGACTTTGGGACAGGCTACTTCCAAGCCTATCAGGTTGTGGGGTACATCAAGGGAAACTCACATGCAAACCATCTGAAAGGAAAGGCTAAATACACGAGAGCCACTGTCCACATCAGCAGGGGAAGACAATTTGATTTCAGATCTGCCATTACAAGAATAAGAGACAGGGGGAAACCAACTGTCCTGCCAACTAGCTCTTTGTACTGTGAGACTCAGGAGTATGGACTTTGGTTTCACTCTAAAGAGGACTCGCAACACTCTAAACAGTCCCTGGAATTCTTTTATCGTGGCTTCTTAGCTGTCCTTCAGCAGCATCTTGGCAAAGGTTCCAGGATTTCTGCCAGCCTGCTTCACATGGCTTCCATTCCAGCCTGCAGGGGAGAAAAATCCAACAAGATATAAACGTAGGGCATTGTTTCCTGATATTCGGAAAAGGTACAACAAAATTGCTTTAGGCCACACAAATTCATTAAGTTTTGCCAAGGGTCAGGCAGTGGCCAGTGCCACACAATTCGATCTTTGAGGATCCAGAGATGAGGATGAATGCAGTAGGTAAGGAGATTTTAAGCTTCATTGTTGAACTGTAGCAGGTGAATGAAGCAGAAACCGGTCAAGCAGGATGCTCTCCCTTCAACTCTGGGAGCCATTGGGACAACAGTGGGGATACCCCAAGCCCTGGGAGCACAGCGTGGAAGGGCTCAACTCGTGCAGAAGATTAGGAGCAAAAGGGACATTTTATTAAAATTTGGCATCACGATTTCAGGTCCCTGCTTCCAAATTTATAAATATAGGTGGTACTCGACTTACGACCACAATTAAGCCCAAGTGAAACATTTATTCAGTGAGTTTGCCCCATTCTACAACGTTTCTTGCCACTTTTGTTAAGTGAATCATTGCAATTGCTAAGTCAGTAACACACGTATTAAGTGTATCCAGCTTCCCCGTTGACTTTGCTTGGCAGAGAGTTGCAGAAGCAACTTTCACAGGACCCCACAAGACTCTGCAACTGTCATAAATATGAACCCATTGCCAAGCATCTGAAGTTTGACCATGTGGGGAGCAGCAACAGTTGTAAGGGTGAAAAACAGTTAGTTTTTCAGTGCTATTGAAACATTGAATGGTCACTCAATGAACTGTTATAAGTCAAGGACTACCTGGAACTTAATGGTGAAACTGCAAGATCTGATCTTGACTGGGTAAGTCTGGGAGGGGAAGGAAAAGTCAGAATTTCACAAGCTGTTTTCCTTTATTCAGCAAGCAAGACTGAAAAACAAGCAGATTGATTCAGAGAGTGCTCTAAGGTTACAAGAGTTCCGTATTGATATGAAGAGGAAATCAAAATATGTAACTAAACTCTTTGCAATACAAAAAGTCTTCCGCAAAGCCACCGCAAAAGGGCCTCAGAACTGCTTGCATTGGCAGCTCCAGGGGCTCACTTGGGTTTCGGTAGGGAGCCTTTCCAGCCGCCCCAAGAGCAGAAAGGGAGCTGGCAAAGCTCCATGCCCAGGTCCAAGCAAGGATCCCTGCAGAAACCCAGCCCGGTGCTGCCTGCTGAGAAAGCCCAGTCCTGACTGGGGGTGGCTTGAAAAGGGCGCTGGGCCAAAAGTTTGGGCTTTTTCAGCCAGTCCCCAGAGAGGAGGAGGAGCCCTGCCAACTTCTCCCGCTGACTGGCCAAGCACCCAGGTGGCAATCAGGGGGCCGCAGGGGCCCTCACCAGTCCCTTCCTTCAGCACTGCGGTCCTTGGAGCATTCGCTGAACAAAGGCTGAGGACTCATAAGCTGAGGACTGCCTGCAGCAGCTGTTACGAGCTGCAGTTTTAGGAATCCCTGGAAGACGCTGCGGTGGCAATATCCATTCAAATGTCATGACTTTCCTCCTGCAGCATCATTGTTTTGCCTTCTGAAATGGGAGAGAGGAAGAAAGAGGCTCCCAGGGCACCCATTCCGACCATCACCCAGCCGGTCATCTCCCAGATGTACCAATGTGTTGCGCCCTTTCGAACTCAAGACACCCAAAACAAGCCCTTTGAAGCCACCAAGGCAGAAAAGCTGGAAGTGCTGATGAAGGACAGGACAGGTAGGGAACCCTGTGCCTCCTGGCAGAAATTGGATGTCAAGGCCTGGCTGCCTGTGGGCACTCCTGAACATGGTTCATTTATTATTTATTTACTAGCTGATAACCCGGCATCGCCCGGGTAATTATTTATCCCAGTCCTATATTAGACCGGAAAATCCTTGGTCGGGGCTCACGCTGTTGTACTGTCTCTCGCGCAGCATTGCAAGTCTTCCTTGGAGGGCTGAGAGGGAGCCCCCTTGTGGAGTACTGGAGTACTGTGAAGCCGTTACCATGGCAAGTCCACTGTGCTGTACAGTAGAAGCCATTTTAAGGCACCCCCCCCCAAGGGGGTCAGTTCTGGAGAACCAATAGCAGAAAATTTGAGTAGTTTGGAGAATGGCAAATCCCACCTCTGACTGGAGTTTTTACAGTATTCTTCCCCTGCCATGCCCACCAAGCCACGCCCACAGAACCGGTAGTAGAAAAAAATTGAATCCCACTACTCACACACACACACACATCCATTTTTATATATAGAGATATAATTTAATGAATTTATTTATATTTTGCCATTATTATTTGTAGAAACCCTGAGTTACAGGGCAGTAAAGATCTCTGCTATTCCTTCCTTCTCCTACTCGCCCCCCACAACCACCCTGTGAGGTGGGCTGGGCTGGTGGCCCAAAGTCACCCAGCCAGCCTAAGGCAGGACTAGAACTCACACTCTCCTGGTTATTGACCCAAGAACACTCAATTGGCTTTCATGCCTAAGACTCACCATCTCACCCTTTAACCACTTCTAAGCCACAAATCATGATTTACAATCTACCCTTGGAAAGTTCACACAACAGGCTGAACCAAAATCAAACTAACTGTATCATGTGGATGTATGAATCCAACCAAGGATAATAAGATATACTGGATGCAGTATTCTAATGGTGGCCTTACTAAGGCTTTGTACTAGTACTTTACGTGACCTGATTCTATCCCACCAGTTGATGCAGCCTGGGATTGCATTGGCTATTTTGGCTGCTGCCGCAAACTATTGGCTTTTATATAAGTGACTGTCCACTCAGACTCCAAGATCCCTCTCACAGTTACTAGCTTTCATCTAGTCTGTACCTGTACTTTTGATTTTTCTTACCTAAGTTTAAGACCTTGCTTTTCTGTTACATTAAATTTGATTTTGTTAGGTAGGGCCCAGTGTTCAAATATGTCGAGATCCATCTGGATCTTGAGCCTATCTTCCCGAGTGTTGACTCTTCCTGCCAGCTTGGCGTCATCTGCAAATCTGATGAGTTCCCCTTCTGTTCTCTCATGTACCGTATTTGCCGGCGTATAAGACGACTTTTTTGCCCTGAAAAACATGCCTCCAATTGGGGGGGTCGTCTTATACGCCGGGTCATCTTATACGCCGGCAAATAGTAATTGGGAAGCACTGCGGCTGCCTGCGGCTGAGGCACTTTTGCGCACCGTGGAAACGAATCCCGTGAAGCCGAAAGGAGCAGCCAGCCTTCTCCCAGCTCCCAAGGAAACGAGGCTCGCACCGCCCGAGCTCCGCTGAGGTATCCGGCTGGGGCTGTCAGGAGTTGTTACCGCTGGCGCGGCTCCGCGCAGCTCCAGTCCCGCATTGCCTCGGGAAGGGAAAGGCAAAACCAGGAGCCGCTGCTGCCATTGCAAAGCGCCGCCGTGGCTCTTCCTTTTTGCCTTTCCCTTCCCGAGGCAACGCGGGACTGGAGCCGCGCGGAGCCGCGCCAGCGGTAACAACTCCTGACAGCCCCAGCCGGATACCTCAGCGGAGCCCGGGCGGTGCGAGCCTCGTTTCCTTGGGAGCTGGGAGAAGGCTGGCTGCTCCTTTCGGCTTCACGGGATTCGTTTCCACGGTGCGCAAAAGTGCCTCAAAAAAAAAAAAAAAGTGCAAAAGTGGAAGGCGTGCGGAAGAGGGGGCGAGTATATAACAAACTATATTTTGAGTGGAAATGTTGGGGGGTCGTCTTATACGCCGGGTCGCCTTATACGCCGGCATATACGGTAAATGGTTTATGAAGATGTTGAAGAGTCTTGGCCTCTTCACGAAGCCACCAGCAACCCAGGTCAACTGAAGGAAGTCTTTGGAAGCAAATTTGAGGGGAATCATTTGCTGAGGCCCAGGAGAGGCCCAGATCCAAGCCTAGCTGGCTGTTCACCAGGCCATGTCAATATGGCTTCGCCCTCGACTTGCTTTTAAGGTCCAATTATGGCTCCCGAAGGAAGCTGAGGGCCTTTGGGTGGGAATAGAAGATCGATGTTTGCAATCCCTCCGTGCCTGTTTTTTGCCCCAAGGAATGCCAGGGAGCACCCAGCTCATTTCTTGACCCCTCCATGATCTTTTGCCTCAGGATGGTGGCTAGTGGAAAACAACCGAAAGCAAATCGCCTGGTTCCCAGCTCCGTACCTGGAGGACAGCAAAGAAATGCCCATCATGGAAGAAAACGACGAGGAAGGTGAATCTTAACTGCCCCCCTAACTCTTTCTGTAGACTTTCTGCTTTCCAAACATGACAATTAAGATATGTGGACTACAATTCCCATGTTCCCTGGGGAATTCTGAGAGTCAAAGTCCACATCTCTTAAAGTTGCTAAGATTGGGAAATACTATTGTAGTACAGAGATAATGGCATGAAATAGTGCAGATCCAACCATTTTTTTCTATTTCTAAAGGCTGTGGAGCCAATCCCCTTCCCAGCCAGATCTTCAGATCAGGAACTGGTGTTGCATTCTGGTGGTCCCAGGGTCCCTGCACACCCATCCGTCTGTTTTAGATTATTTTACTTTTTTAAAAGGAATGTTATGTTGGCAAGAAAGCTCACATCAGCCCACTGGCATTTTTACAATATGGGCGATCCTTGACTTATGACTGTTTGTTTGAAGACAGTTCAAAGTTACAAGGCGTCTTTGCACTCACACTACTTCTTCTTCTTCTTCTTCTTCTTCTTCTTCTTCTTCTTCTTCTTCT